TCCAAGCAAAGACGCTTAATTCCTGTTTTGACTTTTAAGCTGTGATAAAAATTAGAATATTTGAAAAAAATTGTAGGTAAATTATCATAAAATTAACTAACGCCTCTCATTAAGTTAGGCTGTTTGGTAAAAGCAACTGTGCAGTACACTAATCTTATTAGTACTATGAGTACTATTAGTACTAATCTTAGATCTTATTACTGTTTTTCTTTTACATTGTTGGATGTAACTGGGACCCTGTGTACAAAATTTCTTTCCACCACATGTACCACATGTGGTGCGAATGACAAACAAAGAAACTCTGACTCTAATTTAAATAATTATTCTTTTGATATTTACACATTAGTGTTGCAAATACTTGCTCTAATTTGAGCCTTTTACTCGTTGAATGACCTACTGGTAAATTTAATGTAAACAGACATTCTTAGGTCAAATTCTACAAGTTTTTATTTCATTTGTTGTGAAAAAGAGCCTTTCACTAACATCTTATAAATGGTCCTATCAAGAATACAGAAACAGCACATTTGTACAATGACTGACCTAAGGTACTTTAAGATCATTTGAGTTTTGTCACGTCTGATGCACACACCCTAATGTTGATATGATGATGTCATCAGGATCGTCTCAAGGTGTGTTTTATTTACTTCCAGTTTCACATACGAGAGCTGGTCAAGAACAGGTGACCAGAGTCCGACCATTACACACCATTTTGGATATTCGTCCACCACAGACAGAAACTGGACGTGTTTGTGTGGCTGACCAACTGGTAAACAAGGTGCACTGTTAAAACTTCCACTATATTTAAAAATGTGGTGAATTTTAAAGACATTTTATTGAAGAAAAGCACTAGAGCTGTGGAGGTTATTATTATTATTATTAATAAAATTGTTCCATATTTTCCTAACAGAGCACTTTGCTCTCAGACTGGAGGCTTACTTGCGGTTCCTAGAGTTTCCAGAAGCAGAATGGGAGGAAGATCTTCCAGTTATCAGGCTCCTCTCTTGTGGAACCAACTTCCAGTTTCTGTCCTTAGTTCTGACACATTGTCCAGTTTTAAGACTGGGCTTAAGACTTTCCTTTTTCATAAATCCTATAGTTAGTTGGCTTGGTTTTCTGACATATTCCTTATCCTATGCTGCTATAACCTTAAACTACTGGAGAACAAATTGACTTCATTTCATCAAATGAACAAATACATACAAATTAATAGTTTGTATTTGTAATTATTCTTTCTTAACACGTGATTTCTGTCTTTTTGTCTTCCCTATAGACAAAACCTGATGGCCTCCATCCTGGACCTGTCACTGTGTGTTCGTTTTCTCCTTCCTGTTCCTCTCAAACCTAACTTTGAAGCAGATGGCTGCTTGTCCTGCACCTGGTTCTACTGGAGGTTTCTTCCTCATGACAGAGTTTTTCCTTTCCACTGTTGCCTCTGCGCTCGCTTAGGGTGGGAAACTGTAACAAAGTGAAAACTCAAAGCAATCTGTTGGCTCCTAGATAAATATTGTTATTAACTGACTTTATATATAAAGTATGTGTGTGAATGTTTCTGTGCCCTGAGACAACTTCTGTTGTGGTTTGGTGCTATATAAACAAACTGAACTGAATATTAACCTTTGTTAATTAACCTTTATTTAACCGGATCACAGATCTCTGTACAAGAGAGGCCTGAGCCTGAAGGCATCCTAACGTGCATGTTTTTGGACTAGTTAAATATACAGACATGAAATAAGTGGGGAACTTTGAATAAAAAGGTGCTTTAGGTCCACTGACAGAATAAATGAAAAACTGCTAGTGTGATGTTAAGTTTTTAATGTGGAGGCATCTAAAAAAGATGAACTTGACTAATAATGTGAGGATGCACACTGCAGTGCTCAGAGATCAAAACTCCCTGTGTGTCAGGCTGTAAATATGTTCACTTCTGATGTAAAGCTTGTCATTTTAACATGGAAATATTTTTTGTTTTCCAGAGTCAACCTCAAATGGTCTCTGGGGTGAGCTTTATTTTGGCACTTTCGCCTCAGCTCCACTTCTCAGCCCTGGAGTTGTCTTTTATATAAATTACATCAAGAGATGTAAAGGACCCAGCTTCTATGAACCTTCAACTATAAATCTAGTGACTAATTTTTTAGATATTTTTGCTTCTGTTGCTCCAGTTTACTCCTCTAACAACTACTGGCGATGCCGACTGAATGATTCACTGATTTTTAACCGGCTCAGTTATTTATTAAAACTAAATCAAATCAAACGTGAGGACGAAGGTCAGTTTGTCTGGCAGCTTTGTAATCACAGATAATTTGTCACGATGATACGAACTCCTGTGCAAAAACAAACCCTCCATCCACTTTCACCTCCCTGCCATTCCCAATCACATGTAGGATCGGCTGTAACCATGGAAACAAGGGTGATGGTAGTAAGACAAAAACAGGAAGTAAGCGACGAGGGTTCGCTGCCCTCGGTGTCAAACAAACCAAAGCTGCTCTGTGATAGGACCGCTGCTCGTCTCTGCCACCACATGAACTGAACAAAAAGGAAGAAGACTCAACCACCGGCAGAAGATTCTCATCACAAACACGCTGAGCTCAAACAACGGTGCAAAAAGAAGTCCACTAATAGTCAACTATCAGAAATGAAATGTGGGAACTCTGATTACTCAATTTACACACACCACAGAGACAATATACCGTATGAATCAAATAAAAACATTAGATTTAGTTTTCACGAGTGTTTCTGAGTTTCTACTTCTTGTTTGTAGTAACAGGAAATAATTAAAAACATTTCTATATTTCAACTTCTACTTTTGAAAAGAGCATCGCCTCCTAATACTCTGAACCCAATGACTTAATTCATCATAGATTTCACAAATTTTATCAGAAACAAATCATAAAAAAACGAACTTAGATATCGTTAGGAACAACATAAAGATAAAATGTTCAAGAAATAGTCAAATATAATTTTTAAAAACCTGTGGTTTTTTTTTATTGGAGGTAGAAGACTGAAAAATGTCTGAATTATCAAGCTCAAACTGCTGCTCAGAGGGTTTTCTATTTATAAAGCTGCCAGAGAGTCATAAAGCAGACATGTTTAATTTAAGACACGTGCACACACGCACGCACGTACACACACAGAGAGAGAGAGAGAGAGAGAGAGAGAGAGCGAGAGACAGAGAAACAGAGAGAAACAGTGCATCATGAGGGCACGGTGCTCACACACATCCACACAAAGACACACAAAGACACACTAAGACACAATTGCAAGCTCTGGCTTTTTCCTGAGCATTTGTAAACAACACCCCCATACACGCACAAGCATACTCAAAAAAGGATTTCACATGACCGTGTTCACAACCCCTTCAGTAATCCAGAATGAGAGGGTTGATGTTTAGTTGTAATCCAGCTCAACCATTAACACAACTGACATGTTTAAAGGAAGCAGCAGTCTCGCACACCACCATCACACCACCATCACATCACCATCACAACACCATCACATCAGCATCACAACGCAATCACATCACCATCACAACGCAATCACATCACCATCACAACGCAATCACATCACCATCACAACGCAATCACATCACCATCACAACGCAATCACATCACCATCACAACGCAA